CAGGAGGCAGAGGTTGTGTTGAGCCAAGATCATGCCCCTGCACTCCAGTCTAGGTGACAGAGCGAGACTCCACCTCAAAAAAAAAAAAAAAAAAAAAAGAAACCCATGGATTTATTTCTCATATGCTTTATATTTTTGCAACTCTCTTATAAAGTCAAAGACCTACTACATACACTCTCATCACAATGTGTCGTAACACTTTACTAAAAGTACACATTTAGTAAGCGTTTTTTGACTAGTTGTCTCTTCCAGGTAATGGAGACTATACAGTGGCTTTCAGACTTTTTCTATAAGCTTCGGTTATCCAAGATGGACTTTAAAAGCTTTGGTTTATTCTCAAAATGGAGTCCTTATATGGCTGATGTGAAGACATTCTTGGGCTACCTTGTGAAAAGGCTGTTTGACTCGGAAATGGCCTGTTTGGCCCAAGACCCAACTGCCAGCAGGAAAACAGGTACTTTTAGTGCAATGTGGAGCTAGGTGTTTGGACTTTCCATTAAGAGAGATTTAAATAGGCACATTAAGAGGTTTATATTGAGTGTCAAGGAGAAAAAGTAGAAATATATAGAACAGGCATGAGCCCATGTATGTGTCATATATGTGTCATGATATATGAATGGATATATTCATTACATAGTGAATGTAGAGTGCTTGCTATGGCTTGTCTCTGCCCCTCCTTTGCAGGGTGGGGTACAAAGAGATAGGTTTCAGTTTCCTACCTTTTCTGTCATTTGTTTTTCTAAGGAAAGGGTTCTGAATATTTATACATTTATCATTTTTAAAAGTATGTTATAAAATTATCCATGATATTATATTGTAATACAAATTCTTCAATTCGGAGAAATTCCAATGTAGCCAATGAAAACATAAACATACTTAGTTATACTAAGCCTGTTGTTTGTATATTAACATAGGTTTATGAGTCTACAGATAATAAGCGGTAGATTTTTCTGTATAATGTGAGCAGTGATATTGACAAATGACAAATGATGACCTTGTTTGTTTTTTTGTCTCTAAAACTTTTTAGTGCTGAAATGCCTACATTCAGTAATCATTCAGCTCTTTAAGCCATGGATCCTGGTTTTAGAGGACAATGAAAGGTAAATAGGTTTTCAGATACTCAAATTCCTTTGATATTTGTAGACTTAAAATTCTGAATGGTATTCGGTAGAAGTGATGAGTTCACAGATTTAATTTTTTAGTGTAAGGCCATATTTAAATTTAGAAAAGGCTTCTTTTCAAAACTTAAGACCTTTTCTATTTATGGAATTGCTAGTCTGGGTCATCAGAGATATTATCTTGATATTAATTTTGGAACAAAACTGGGCATTCATTTCCAGTTTTCCACAATAAACAGGTTGAACAAACTTTAGTGTTTAATTTCAGAAAAACAGATGCTGTTCTCCTGAGGGTTCTCTTAGATTTTTATGAGACTGATTTTTCTCTACTGTATCAGTTGTGTTTTGGAACTAAGTTGGCTATAAAATTATTGGGTGGGAATTACCTTTAATTCTGGAACTCTGCAATTAAAGCATTATTTCACAAGCATTTGCAATACGTAGAGGTAGACAGCTGTCCAAATTCAGTGAGTTGCCTTCTGAGTCTTTTTTTTCCCTGAAAGTATACAAGCAGAAGCTAGTTGAACTTGTCAGGGTTTTATAGAAATTACGACAGTGGTAAACATCACATTATAGGAGGTATTTTCAAAAACTTGAACTTGATTCTGAGACTCAGAGAACATGAATGTCATACTCAAGTCTCATAACTGGTTGGTTAGTGCCGAAGCTGGGACTAGAGCTCAGGTCTTAGACTTCTGTTTCTAGACTCTTTGCATTAACCCATGTTGCTTTACGAGACACTTAAGGAAAGTGTAAAAGGTTCTGAATGTTTGCTTTTGCTAGAGGGCTATCTGAATAATCTGCAAGCTTCAAGATTTTATAGTGACTGTATATATAGACTGCTTACCATAATGTTGGCTGCTTGTTTATTTCCAGTAAGAATTAATGGAACTTATTTGGATATTGAGTTTTCTAGGCCAGATTCAGAAAATAATTTTTTTTTTTTTTTTTAAAGACGGAGTCTCACTCTGTTGCTCAGGCTGGAGTGCAGTGACATGATCTTGCCTCAGTGCAACCTGTGCTTCCCAGGTTCAAGCAATTCTCCTGCGTCAGCCCCCTGAGTAGCTGGGATTACAAATGTGCGCTACCATGCCCAGCTAAATTTTTTTTTTTTTTTTTGTATTTTTAGTAGAGACAGTGTTTTGTTATGTTGACCAGGATGGTCTTGAACTCCTGACCTTAAGCAATCTGCCCACTTCTGCCTCCCAAAGTGCTGGGATTATAGGCAGGAGCTACTGTGCCTGGTCAATTAAAATTTTCGTATAAAGAATTTCTTTGGGCCAGGCGTGGTGGCTCACGCCTGTAATTTCAGTACTTTGGGAAGCCAAGGCAGGTGTATCACTTGAGGTCAGAAGTTTGAGACAAGTGTGGCCAACATGGTAAAACCCTGTCTCTACTAAAAATACAAAAAAAGCTGGGCATGGTGGTCGGCCCCTGCAACCCCTTACTCGGGAGGCTGATGCAGAAGAGTTCCTTTAACACCGGAGGTGAAGATTGCCATGACA